CAGAGCCATCCAGAAACACATTTTCTCCCTCAGTCCAGGGATTGCCTCATCAATCTCTCTCAGCCTGGGTCTGGAGCTCTGTCCCTTGAATGCAGTCTTGGGTGTCTCGGTTCCTCTGCGAGCCTCTCAGGAACCCTCGGCCAGTCCCGAGTCGGCAGACACCGGGGGGGGCAGCCCCGACATAGCCGACAGCGGGCAGACACTCTCTGTGCCCCGAGGGTACTGAGGGTACCTGGACTGGTCGCCTTTGCAGCACAAGAGACACCAGAGACAGCACAAGAGACACCAGAGACAGCGGTAGAAGATAAAGGGCCGACTCTTAGCAGGGGTTAATCCAAGGTTTTATTAGGAGTCCCAAAGGAGCTCCTGCACCTCAGGCGGCCTCCTGTCGAGAGCCCGGGAGATGTGCCAAGGTCACATTTAAAGGGAGGTGGAAACCAAAAGTAGATAACATTTTACCAACCTATAAGTGACCCTAAGGGATGGATGCTGGGGGATAAACATATAGGACAGCGTATGGGGCAAGGCTGGGGGGGCTGACCCCTGGCCTCTGGCTAATCACTCAACGACCTGGACTGAAACTTCTGGATGGAGGGGATGGGATGCTGAGTGATTGACAGAGAGCCAGGGTGGGGGTTTGGGGATGATCTTATCCCGGGAGAGGGATTACACAGGTAAAGGGAGAGGGGTACAGTTTGGGATAAACCATTTGGGAAAAATATGGGGATACAAAGCAAAACTACTTCAAAGTATTACAAAGTATAAAAACGCACTACAACACCTGAGTTTCTTGCCAGCCCCTCTCCAGGCTGTTCAAACAGGAGGCTGGGTTAAACCCTTGCCCTGTCCTCAGTTCTGAATCCTCCTGTGCCACTGAACAAGTTTCATACTGTAATAACCGAGCCCTGCTCATCCATTTAGAGGCTCTTTTGGTTGTCAGAGCTTTAACTTGATGCCAGACTTGAACTCTAGGAGTTCCTCCTGTTGTCATCAGTTTTCAGGCCTCAGTTCCTATGAAAGCTGTGGCTGCACAATTCTGCAGACAGATTGAGGCCACTCTGGCCACTGGGTTAAACATTTTAACACAAGAATTCTTCGGCATGGCCCTGTTTAACATCCACCTACAATTCAAATTCTTTCTCCCTGTCTAGGAGGGCCAGGGCAGGAGCCTCAGTTAATCTGCTTTTTAACACTTGAAAATTCTGTGATTCCTCCTTGTGTCCATCCATCCAGTTTCTTGACTGGAGTGTTGTAGGGAGAGATCCCTGGCTCCAAAACCCTGCCTTTAAGAGAGAGTCAGTAATAAGCTGTAAGCCCTTCCTTCCCTCTCTTGGAATAGGGTATTGATTTTAAATCAATACAAGCAACCTCTTGTCCTTGTTGCTTCAAAGTAATTTGGTGAGGCTCCATATCTAATTTTCCCTCTTTCCCTGGGACTGTCCACATTTGTGGGTTCACTTCAGCATAGGCCTTGCCAGACATTTGACACATAAGTACAACATCATAAGCCTCTGTATCACCTTTTACAATATAAAAATCCAGCCACCAAATTCCTTCCCAGTAAATTGCAATCACAGTAGGAAGAAAAAGAAATTAATTTATTTCAAGCGTATCCCCTACATCTCCTCATAGTGGTTGATGAAATCATACCTGCTCATCTTTCCCACTTATTCCCTTAATAATTAAACCATGCCTTTCCTATTTTGCCCGTTAGGTCTAAGATTCAGAGTGGATTGAGAAGCCCCTGTGTCCATCAGGAGAGGCCTCCTCTCAATGCAGACCCACCCTGAATGTTCTCAAGGGCTGCAGTGTGGAGGGTCCCTGGTGTGATGGGAGCTGTGACAGCCCTGCCAATCCATGTCCATCAAGGGGTGGACTTGCTGGTCCTGAGGGTGCTGCTGTCTGTGCTTGCAGTGTCCTTGTGCCCTGCAGCTGGAGCCCTGATTCCTTGCCAGGGGCTGTTTGGGTGGGCTGTCCCCTGCCGAGGAGGGCAATGCCTCTGCCGGGTGCTTGTGGCCGAGCCCGTGCCCTGGGTGCTGGGGCCCCCTTGGGCCCTGGGGTTGATCCCTCAGGGGCTGTAGGAACTCTGCCCTGGCCTTTGCCTTCAGCTTGGCCTTTTTCTGCTTCCTTCTTGCATTCACCTGCTGTGCCTTTGTGCCCAAGTGCTGCAGGGCCTTCTTCTGCCCCTCCTGCAGCCCCCCTCAGTGCCTGTGGGTGCTCATCCTCTGAGAGCTGCTGAGCTTTCTGCAAAATCATTCGTTTCTGTGGTGATCCCAAGAAAAGAAAAGAAAAGAAAATCTCAGTCCTTCCATGTATAATCCACATTTCCCAGGTGTTCCTTGCTCCTCATCCGTGTGCTCAGGGTGCCCTCCCCAGCCCGTATCCCAGAGCCGGTCCCTGTCCTGCCGCAGTGTCCAAAGGCGCCCCCCGGCGGGCAGGGCCGGCAGCTCCACGGGGCCGGGCAGCGGCCGGGGCGTCCCGCAGCCTCCTGGGGGCCGGGGGCCACTGCCGGCCCTGCCCGAGGCTGGTGGGGTCAGGCAGCGCCCGGCGCTGAGCCCCGGCTGCCCCACAGCCCCGGCCCGGCCCCGCAGCTCCCCCCAGGCCCCCAGCCCGTGCTCCCGGTCCCGCACCTCTGCGCCCGGTGCTGCCGCTGCCCCCCACAGAGAAACCCCCTGAAACCCTGACCTCCTTGTTTTCCTCTCCTGGAAACCGGGGATACAAATGATCAGCTGGCAAATGTTGAGGATAAGACCCTGCTGAAAAACATCCCAGTCCTCAGTATTTTTCTCTTCCTCCCCTTTTCTTTTTCTCACCACATAGATTCCTCCTGCTGCTTCCTGCCTTAACCATATTCCTGCACACTCCCCTTCACCCAGTCTCTTCCCAGCACACCAATGCCATCCATCCCCTGTTGTCCAAATCCCTTCTCCACTTCTCTTATTGCCCCCCTGGGTGTCCAAGTCCTTAATTGCCTCTGAGGGAGTGTGCAATCTACCTCAACCTTCTCCCAAGGGACCCTTCAGAGATATTTTGGGATCATCATCCCTTTGGCACAGGACCCCTTCCTGGCTTTCCCTTTTCTGTCTCCATGGGTACCCTGCCGTGCTCACTCCCCAAAGATCCCAGTGCACTCACTGATGAGATTTTCAGTGCTCTCTCCCTGCTGACTCTTCACAGCCCCCCCTGATGTGCCCCTCGTCTGTCTCCTGGTCACTCTCAGGTACCCAATCAGTCCCCGGTGCTGCCGCCCCCAAGGGGCCTGATCACCCAAACTGGGTGAGGCACCTTCAGCTGCACTCACTGCCCGCTGCCCCGGACGGTGGCTAGAATTCCGGACGAGTCCCAAGGTGTGTGGAAAAATTGACGTCACCAGAGGATTCTGTCCACAAAGCAGACAGAGGAGTCCTGTAAAAGTAATTTCATTCCTAAAGAAAGGGAGAGGCCATGGGACATTTCCTACAGGGTCTCTCCAGTTGGTGGAGGACACAGCCTCCTGTTCATCCTAATTTTCCCAGCTGCATCTCCCTCTTCCTTTCCGCATTGGGTGGTGTACTTGAGAGGAAGAGACTTCCCAATCCACTTACTACATATCCCCTTGATATGCTCCCTACTTTTGTGTAGCAACCGATATTCATGGCTCTGTGAAGTCTTTGTTGTTCTTCTTCTCGAAGTTCATGAATATGGCAGGACCTTGGCTGAGCAGCAGTCTGTGTCATCAGTTAACAACATTTTCTTAAACTGATGGCTTCTCCTGTCGCTTCCTTACGTACAAGTTCCTGGGTCTATCTCTCAGCAGATTCACAGCATCTGATTGTAAAGACACTTTCCTCTTCTTCCTTTCATGGGGATCCCGCGTTTGTGGGACATCCCCCCCTGGAGCAGGGTGTCCCCGCCTTGCTGCAGCCCCAGCCCTCAGGCAGCGCTCAGCCAATCAGAGCACGCGGCTCTGATGACTCATCAGTTGCCAGGCAGACCCGCGGATCCCAGCGTTCCCAACCTGCCCCCCCCCCCCCCCCGCCCCCCCCCTCGGCCCCAGCGCCCCCCTCGAGGGGAATTTGGGGAGGTGGGAGTGGGGCAGCGCCAAGGCCGGGCCCCCCCGCTCTGTCCTGGCGGGAGCGGCTGCAGTGGGGACCGAATGCGGGCGGGAGCGGCCGGGAGCCCAGCGCTGCCCCAGCCCGACCTGCCCCAGCTCCATCCCTGCCCCTGCCGTGGGATGCTGTGGGTTTGGGGGCAAGAGGGAGCCGGCAGCGGGTGCTGGGCCTGGGGCAGGAGGAGAAGGGAAGGAGAAGCAGGGTTGAGGAACAAAATGGTGAAACCCTGGACGTGGGAGGAAAAGGTGGGATTGTGCAGGAGAAGGAGGAATAGTAGGAGGAAGAGGAGTGTGAGGAAGAGCAGGAACAGAGGAGGAGGAGGAGCAGAAAGAGGTGGCACCACACGGTTCTACTCCTCCCTGTATCTGCAGCCTCCCCCCCAGCCCCAGGAGCTTTGTCTGTATGCAGCAGGTGACCAGGGGAGGGGGAATCCATGATTTTCACAGAGGCTGAATCTTGGGGTTTCTGAGCTTTACTGGGCAAATGTTGGTGCTTTTGTGCTTTGTGAGGGCTGAATCTCTGTATTTTGAAGGAGGTTTTTGCTGAATAATGACGTTTGGGAAGTTTTTGATCGGCATCTTGATGTTTAGAGGATTTTTGTGCTGAATCATGGTGTTTTGGAGGTTCTTTCAGACACAAGATGCCCAATGACTTTCCCAGATGAACTTGGGCATGGAGGTTTTCCCAGTCCAAGCTGCTCTCCTCTTGATTTTTTCTGCAAACCAGGATTTTTAATTCTCAGGGTGTGGCCTGATGGAGGAGGAGGAAAAGCCCCAAATGTACCTCATGAAGAGGGGCTGCAAACCGTACCCAGGGAGTTCTGGGGAGGAAAGAGCCCCTGTGAGCCAGGAATGCATCCTGCGATCCAGCCAGAGCTTGGAGCTGGTGGAGAAGCCTCATGGCAGGGAGAAGCCACACAGGTGCTTGGAATGTGGGAAATGTTTCAGCTGGAGCTCCACCCTGAGGCAGCACCAGGTGATCCACACTGGGGAGAGGCCCTTTGAGTGTGGGGAATGTGGGAGGAGTTTCAGCCACAACTCCATCCTGATCCAACACCAGAGGATCCACACTGGGGAAAAGCCATTTGAGTGTGGGGAATGTGGGAAGAGCTTCAGGCAGAGAGGCCAACTGATACGACACCAGGTGATCCACACTGGGGAAAAGCCCTATGAGTGTGGGGAGTGTGGGATAAGCTTCAGCCAGAAGGGCTACCTGATGCAACACCAGAGGATCCACACTGGAGAAAAGCCCTACAAGTGTGGGGAATGTGGGAGGAGCTTCAGAGGAAGCTCGGCCCTAATTCGGCACCAGGTCATCCACACGGGGGAACGGCCCTACACCTGCTTGGAATGTGGGAAGAGCTATGGGTGGAACTCTGACCTGAGAAAACACCAGCGCACCCACTCTGGGGAGAGGCCCTATGAGTGTCCTGAGTGTGGGAAGAGGTTTCACAGGAGCTCCGATCTCCTCAAACATGAGCGGATTCACACAGAGGAGAGGCCCTTCCGCTGCCCCGACTGTGGGAAGGGCTTCAAGGAAAACACCAAACTCACCATCCACCGGCGCATCCACACTGGGGAGAGGCCCTACGAGTGTCCTGAGTGTGGGAAGAGCTTCTCACAGAACTCTCACTTGACAGAACACCAACGGAGGCGCCACTAAGGGAAGCCCTGTGAGTGCCCCACGTGAGGGAAGAGCTTTGTGCGCTGCTCCAGCTCTATCCCCCATGAGACGATCTACATTGGATGATCCTCAGTGAGCGTTGTTGGGCAGAGCCCTGGTGATCCATGGTCCTGGTGATCCATGTTGGGAAGACACCTGGCTTGGAGGCTCCACATCTTCCTGGTTCCCTGTGGGCAGCTAGATAAACCCAGCAGCAGGAACATCCATTGGGACACAGACCTACAATGGGAATTCCTTGGGGAGGGCAGATTTGTTGACTTTCAACCCCATAAAATCTTTTGCATTCAATCCTATCTTCTAGTGACATCAGGGAGTACTGAATGGTGTTGAAGATATATTCGGAGTGGACTATATGATGCTTGCATCTCCAGTCTGTTCTGTTTATGCTGAATAATAAGTTTTGTATCTTTAAGACTTGTCCTGAGAGTGAAGAGGGAGAGAAGAAATGCAGAGTTTGTTTTCAGAAACTGCACTCGCTCCTCCACATTCCTGCTCTGGGACTGTGTTGTCTGCGGATGGACAGACAGCGGGACAGAGCTCTCCTTTGCTTTTACTTAGTTTTAGCTAGCTGAGGCAAAGTAGTTCCCTACTGTGGGGTTTTTTCCCTTTTCTTTGGACCTGCTTAAACCTGCTCTGGCCTGAACACCAGAAGAGCACGGGCAGCTCACACCTGTGGCCCACCAGGCCGGGCCTGGGCCGCGGCATTTCCAGCGCCAGAGGGACTGATAAGGGACTGAGTGAGCTGAGCTACAGCCCACAGAGGGACCTTGTGAGTTTGTCTCTCTTTTAGAGCAGCAAGAGGTTTTATTGTTTAATATTGTTTAGGTTTTATTGTGTAATAAACAGTTTTTTCCACTTTTCTTCAAAGAGGTATTTTATTTTTCCTGAACCAGTTGGGGGACACATGGACATGGAGGGGGACATAGCCATTCATGGGGATGTGGGTGGACACAGGCATGGATGGAGATGTGGGGAACAATGACAGGGATGGAAACATGGTGGGGAGACAGCCGTGGGTGAGGACATGGTGGGACATGGGCAGTGACATGTGGGGACATGGCCATGGCTAGTGCCATGGGGGGAACTTGCAGGGGATGTAGGGGATGCTGGGTTTGAGGGAGCTGAGGGTTCCTGGGAGGGATTTGGGGCTTGCTGAGGCCTTTGGGGACCCCAGGCCAAGTGGCTCTGGCTGTGCTGGGAGACCCTGGGGGAGGTTCTGGGGCAGTTGCTCAAGGACCCCCTGAACTGGAGCCCCAGCCGGGCATTGGGCTCCTGGAAGGGGATGAACATCCTTGTCCCCAGGAAGAAAATCCCAGCACCCCCAGGGTGTCAGGGGCAACTGAGAGGCCACAACAGGAGGGGAAAGCCAGACAGAGTTGTCACACTCTTAAACTACACCCCAAAAGTCCCAAAACTGAGGGATTGCTCCCAGGAAAAAGCAGCCAGGAGATGCATGAATTGAGGGAAAGGGGGGATGTGACCCCCCAGACTGAGCAGGAGGGACCTGCATCCCCCAAAACCAAATAGGGACGAGAGGCGGAGCTGAAGGCACAATGGGAAAGGGGTGGGAGTGCAGGGAAAAAGAGGATTCAGAGTGGGAGAGGGATGGGATCCCCAGATTGAGTTGGGAGGGGTCCTTGGGTTGGGGGAACAATAGGAGAGGGGAGGGAAAGTTGGGGATGGGATAGGAAAAGGGTGGTTCCGTGGGGATCCCACTGTGTCCCCATCACTTGATCCCTGGAGTGATTCCCTGGGGCTCTGGAGGGGAATGGATCTGCACTGGGTGGATTCCCAAGCCCTCTGCCCATCCCTGGGGGGCTCATGGGATGTTCCCTGGTTCCTTCCACCCAAATGCTGCAGCCATGGGAGAGAGAAGGGTGTGAAAGGAGGATCTGGATTGGGCACGGAGGAGGAGCAATAGGAAGAGGAGGGAGAGAAGAAGCGGAGGATGGGAAAAGGAAGAGCAGGAAGAAGAATAGAAAGAGGAGGAGCTGCAGCAGAACCACGCTGTTTTCCCACTCGCCCACTGAGTCTGCAGCTCCCCTGGCCCTGGCAGCATCTATCCCCCCAGATCTCACAGGTGAGTGGGGAGGGGGAACTCACCCCAAATCCATTGGAGGATCTCTAGGAGGGTTTGTTTCAGGGGAGGGGATGTTTGGATCTTGCAGGGCCCCAAGGGTGAGACACAGATGCCCCTTTGGAGAACTGTGGAAAGTTCCTGTGGCAAACTGTCTGTACTGGCTGGGGCAGTGGTACCAGCTGGGGGGGACATTGGTATTGGGACTCTGATTGGCATCAGAGTGGGGAGAGCAATGAAGGCCAATCCTGGAGCTGGGGGATCCTGTCAGCCTGGAGGGGTGGGGGAGGCTGGAGATGAACAGGGTCTGGGCCCATCCAACTGTGAACAGGGTGGTTACTTTTTGAGCTGGACTTGGGAAGCAGGATCAAGGGCCTCACCTGTTGTTTTTCCCCCAAGCCAGGATTTGTCAATCCCAATCTTTGTCTGGATGGAGCTGGAGGAGGCTGCGAGGAAAAGGAAGATGGCCTGGGACACTGAGGCAGGCAAGGAGGAAGTCACTGCCCCTTTCTCCTTCTCCTCTGTTTCATGTCTCAGCCCAACATTTCCTCTGGCTGCAGGACAACCCCGCTACCAATGCCGTCCTGCCAAGGATGAACTGGGGGGATCTCCTTCCCCTTCCCTCTGGCACAGAGGCAAATCCCATCCTGTCCTTGTCCACAGCTCCTTCCCCTTCTCATTCTGTCCTTCTTCCTTCCTCATTCCTTCCTCTCCTTTTCTTTCCTTTCCTTCCCCAGGCACTGAGCTGCAGATGGAGACCAGGGAGAGCAAATCCCTGCTGCAGAACCTCATGGGAGAGGCCGTTTTGAGCAGCTCCATGGCATGGGAATCCAATGGGGAGGATAAGCCCTGGAGATCCCACACAAGGAGGGGTTGCAAACCCAGCCCTGGCAGCTGTGAGGAGGAAAGATGCCCCCTGTGTCCAGAAGGCAGCCAGAGATTCATTCAGAACTCAGAGGTGGTGGAGACAACTCATGGCTGGCAGAAACCCCACAAGTGCTTAGAATGTGGGAAGGGCTTCAGCTGGAGCTCTGGAGCTCAGATGTGATCTGGCTCCAGGTGATCCACATGGGGAAACAGCCCTACAAGTGTGGGGAGTGTGGGAAGGGCTTTGGGTGGAGCTCCAACCTCATCAATCACTGCAAGATCCACACTGGGGAGAGAACCTATGAGTGTCCCGAGTGTAGGAAGTGGTTTCTGAGCAGCTCCAATCTCATCGTAATGAGTCAAGGGGTCAGCTGGAAATGTATTTACGATAATTGAAAACTGTGGATGAGTCAAGGGGCCAGCTGGGAGTATAACTGAGATAGTAGAAGATTGCATATTTTAGTTAAGATTTTAAAATTAGTTAAGAAGGTATGTTAGCTAAGCAAAAATCACATAGGTTAGTGAAAGAGTAACAAATATATTAGAAAGTAAAGCTCGGAGTGACAGGGATAGATGTAGCAATTGTGGAGGAGCAGAGACCATAGAAATATCTTGCCTTAAGAATAATCAGTTTGGAGAGGCTTGGACCATGACCAGCAGATCAAAAAGTCCTGCAAACTCGCCATGGGTGAAGAGTTTACCATGAGGAAGAGAGCTTTCTTCTTCACATACGCCCACTCCCTTATTTCAAAATCCCACAGACCCAATTAAGGCAGTGCAATTGCGCAGTCATATTAGGTATTCAGCTGACTATAATACAAAGTGGGTGGATAATGATTCTGTATTATGCATCCCTAGAAACTGCAAAACCTTTTCTGTATAAATAGAGAGCAGGAGTCTGCAACTCCTTGCACATCCATTTGGAAATGATTCCTTATGTGTCCAGCACTGTGATAAAACACCCTTCTTTTCAACTTTAATTAGTTGAAGAGTTGTCTGTCTGTGCTTCAGTACATCAGCAGATTCACACAGAGGAGAGGCCCTTCCACTGCCCCGACTGCGGGAAGGGCTTCAGGCGCAACTCCACCCTCGTCACCCACAGGCACATCCACACTGGGGAGAGGCCCAATGAGTGTCCTGTGTGTGGGAAGAGATTCTCCAGAAGCTCTCACTTGGTCCAACACAAATGGAGGCACCATTAAGGGAAGCCCTGCCAGTGTCCCCCATCCCGGTGTCACCCCCTTTTTTCTGCCCTCAGAGCTCCTGAGCCAGTGGCAGCTGCAGCCCCTTCCCGTGGCCTTGCACCTGACTGGGACCTCCTGTGATTGCGCAGGGAGGATTGGGGTGTGACCTGGCAGGGAGGGTGGGATCCAGGGAACACTGGGTGCTGTGGGTCTGCCCAGCAACTGGTGACTCATCAGAACTGCTCTCTCTGATTGGCTGATTCTTGTTCATCACATTCTCTGATTGGCTGTGGAGAGGCCTGGGAGTTGAGTGCAGGAATGGGAGTGATCCCGCCCAGAGCACCAGCATTGGCAAAATAGAGCCAGCCTGGGCACAGGGAGTGAATTTATTACCAACCAAATCACATCAGGACAAAGAGAAGGGAAAGGAATCTCTCCAACATCTTCCCCCCACCTAGGGGGGTTAATGACGATGGAGAGACGGGACATCCGATTTCAGATCAGAAGCCAATTTTATTGAGTATGCCAGGGATTTATATGGGGTTTTACTTGTATGGTAGTTTTATAGGGCTCAATTTTTTCTAACAATTTCCCTTTGTTACACATTCTTCAGGACATCAGGTCACCTGGTAACGTCACAAAGTCTCACAACATGTTTCTTGATCACTTCTTGCCCAGGGAACCTTTATCTGTGTCTGTCTTTCCCACAGTTTCCACTCAATCAGGCCTCAGATATCAGGCCCCTTTATCAGTTCTACTGTTCTCTCTGTTTTATTCCCATCCCTCCCCCTATCCGTTCAAACAAAAATACACTCTTAAATGACTTGTCTATTAATTTTTTCTCACACTGTAAATACAAGGAATAACCATAACAATACATAATACAATGCCTAATGCATAGAAGCCTATTTTAACTAAATTTTTTATCCATCCACCAAGTCTCCAATCCCCTAGAAGTTTTCCTAGCCCTGTAAACCCTGATACCACTGGGTAATCTTAACCATTTTCTTAAGGACATAAGTCTGTTAGAGGTTAAACAGGCGCTGGTGTGGTGGTGAGGTCCTGTTCACAAGGGTTCTCCGCCAATGTTGGTGTTCAAGGTGAATCTTCAGGTGATGCACTCAAAGATTCTTAAAAACGGCTTCACATTCTTTGCTGGAATCCACTCAGGACCATTCTCTGTGGAGACACAAGCAAAACCTCTACCCCAGGTGGCCTAAGGATAAGGCCCCAATATCTTACCAGATTCTGGATCCTTCACTAATGCAGGGGTTTCTTTCCTTTTGTTGCAATTGTGAATCATGATTAAAATGTCGAACAATTGGTGGGTTGGGGTCCATCAAAGAACAATTCAAAAAGTTGATCGCATAAAGGGCTTTCTGCAGTCTCTTGGCAGGGTTCCATCTCTGACCCCCCTTTCTGTTGTATCAAGAGATGTTTGAGGGAGCCATGAGCCTGTGACAGATTGGCCTGTTGGGGAATGAGGAATACCTGTTTTGTGCATAATTCCCCAGAAGGCAAAAGAGTTAGCAACTCGATGGGAAATATAAATTGGGCCATTGCCTGTCTTCACTTCAGATGTATACCAAGAATGGCAAAAGCAGCAGTGAAGTGTCTAGAGACATCGTAAGCTGTTTTCCCTGAATGGGCAGATGCAAAAAGAGCACCAGAAAAGGTATCAATAGAGGAATGAATGTATTTTAAATGACCAAATTCACAAAAATGGGTAATGTCTGATGCCAGACTTTAAGGCTCTGAAGCCCTCTGGGATTAATACTTCCTGCAATAGAGAGAAAAGAACACCTTTGGCAATCAGGACAAACAGCAATAATTCTTGAAGCTTGGGCTTTACTAATGCCAAAGTGCCAAATCAAAGTGACACCATTTTGGTGAAAAAACAAATGGATCAATTTAGGCTGTTCTATCTTATTAGGCAGAACAGATTGTTGTACAGGCATTGTTAAAAGGCCAGCTTGCCTGTTCCCTTCAGCTAAAAATCTGGGACGGTCTGTATGTGAACAAATATGCATAACAAAGTAAGGAAATGTTCAATTTTCTAAGGAAAAAACAAGGAGCTGCAACCAATAAAATTGTTGTGAATTTTCAACTCTTTCTAAACTGATGCTTTGGCTCTCATCACTATTCCTGCAACATAAGCTGAATCTGTAAGCAGATTAAAAAGAACAGAAAATTTTTGAAAAGCTCTGACAACAGCAGCAAGTTCAACAATTGGGGGGGACCACTCAGATATGGATAAATCTGCTCTCCATTAGACCCACTAGAAGAGGGGTCTCTCCATACTACCACAGATTTCTGAGAGTGACCAGAACCATCTGTGAATACTGTTAAGGCTTGAAGTGGAACCTCACTCCTCTTGGGTTACTCTGTCAATTGAAAAAAAAAAAAAAAGCTTAAAAAAAGCTTTTAAAAGCTGTTAAAACAACTCATGTTTTGGAGGATGTATTGAGATTTGTCCACTGAATTCAGGAAAGGCCATCTGAAGAGCCTTGATCCCTGAACTATCCAATTCAAATAAAAGGTGGTTAAAGGTAGGAAAAGAGTGGAAAATTCCCCTCCTGCAAGAGAAACGAGTCTCTGTCAGGCCTTAACAACCAGTTGGGCCATCATTTCATGTTGGGTACTGATGGTTTTAGTCATTTGATGTGGTAAATAAATCCATTCAGTGATAAACAAAGAGTCTGGTGCATTGGGGTCCCATTGAAACATCAAGGCATGGGGCTGTTTTGCTGGATGCAAGATTATTAAAAAGAAAAGCAGCTCAGGTGCCCAGTGTGCAGCTTGTAGGTTTATTATGACATCAGTTGGGCATTGCAGCGCCTGCTGAACTTGAAATGTAAGTTGTCTAGGTGATAAAAGGTCTGAATCTCCTTTTAATCATTCAAACAAAGGACTTTTAGCTTTGTATTTGAATTCCCTAACAAGGAGTGCACCCAGTTGATTGTTCCCAAACATTTTTGTGCATCATGTAAGGTGCAAATATTTGTCTGAATTTGAAGAGCTTGGGGAGAAATTGAAGAGACTCCAATGCACCACCCCAAACACCTCCACGAAGGATGTTTTTGTACCTTTTGGGAGCTATGCAAAGCCCTGCCTGAGTTACAGCTTTGGTGACAAGGGCTAACTAAGGCTTCCTCCATGACTTCCTGTTGTTCAGCTGTTACAAAAATATCATCCATAGAATGGTGCAAAAGAACATTAGGCATTTGTTGATGAACAGAATGAACAGAGGACCTAGCAATATACCACTGGCAAACAGTACAGCTGTTTTTCATACCCTTAGGTAAAACTATCCAGTGATATTGCTCTAAGGGTGCCTGCATGTTTGTGCTTGGAACTGAAAAGGAAAATTTAGGACCATCATCAGGATGTAAAGGAATATCAAAAAACCAATCTTTTAAATCAGTAACAGTCAAGTGCCAATTTTTGGGAATCATGGTAGGAGATGGGAGACCTGGCTGTAAGGCCTCTGTGTCTTCCATAGCTGCATTATTTTTCAAAGATCATGGAGTAAGCACCATTTGCCAGTTTGTTTTTTGATAACAAAAATGTGAGAATTCCAAGGACGGTTAGAAAGGACAAAATGCTCTTTCTGGATTTGTTGTTGGAGCAACTCTGTTAATACAAAAAGTTTTTGCAATGGTAGGGGCCATTGATCCACCCAAACCATTTTCCCTGTTTTCCAGGTTAGTTTTAAAGTGTTGCTCTCCAACGGTCCCCTTTAAAAAGCTGATTGAATCCTAAAGCCCCATTGGGAGAGAACATCCCCCACCACGGTACCATTGGTACTGGTAATACAAACAGTATGATTGAGGCACGGTGTCCCTCGGGCCCTTTGATCTGTATCCAGTGGTGGGTTTGACAGCTGTGGCTGCTTCCTCCAATGCCTGAAAGTGCCTGGAGCACTTTAGCAAGGGACCACTGTGAGGGCCATTTGTCTTGAGAGATACTAACTTCAAACCCTGTGTCTATGAGGCTGTCAAGTGTTATCTTTTGCCCTTTTAATGTCAGGGTACACCAGCATGTGGGGTATTGTTCTAGTATAGGTTGTACCCAACATATTTGGGGTGTTCCAGTAGACCCAAATCCCCTATTTCATATTACGTCTGTAAAAGGTATGCTCATGGTTTGGGGAAATAAAATCAGTTGAGCTATTCAAGTTCTTTGGGGAACAGTGAAAGGCAGTTGGAGTGTCCAGGCCATGATCATAATCTCATTAGCAGAGTCTATAACCCCAAGGAGAACAAAAAGTCCCATCAAGGAGATGGATGACTAACCTAAAAACAATGCATGCCTGGATGGTCCTAAAACTCCTGTGGGAAGCAAATGAACTGATGACTTAAGTAACATTAATGTGATGGAGGTTGCCAACCCAGACAGATTTATCTGTCAACCATATCAAGGCTACACCTGGACATTCATTCCCTGCATCACAGTGGCCCCTATTAAAAATACGTATTTTGACACCCCATTGAGATAAACAATGTCGTCCCCACAAACTTTGAGGAGCATTGGCAACATAGGGTCTGATGTTAACTTGTTGGCCATCAGGATGTTTCACATTAATTACATTGGCTGACAAACCACCTGTTGTAGCACCACCCAACCCCAGAAGTCCAAA